CAATACTTATATTCCGTTCGTTCCCGGACCGTTAATTCGAAGTCACACACACACACACACGCACACACACACACATATATATATATATATATATATATATATATATATATATATATATATATATATGTTATGCTATATTTATGAGTAAAAGATCAGGAATAATGTGTAGTTAAATATAACATGAAAGTGTACAGTGAAGTCAATACTAGCGACCACAGACTGTTTTATTACTGAAAGTTTTGCTCACGCCTGAAGATTGCTTTCAAACATGAAACAGAATGTCGTTGTTTACTGGGTGTCTTGACCTCAGTCTTCATTTATTCATTTATATATATATATATATATATATATATATATTTATAAGAGTTATTTATAAGAGTTTCAAAAACAAGAGCCGAAACTTCAATATAATTATTTGAATTAAAGTACCAAGCTCTGTTCCATATTCAAGCGGAATTTTTTTTACCTAACGAGTTCTTATTTTCTATATATTTTACACACACACACACATAGACACACACACACACACACACACACACAAACCTATATATATATATATATATATATATATATATATATATATATATATATATATATATATGTGTGTGTGTGTGTGTGTGTGTGTGGAGAGAGAGATTGTTGTTCTCTGATTAAGCCACTCAGGAATGTAGTGACTTTGATTCACACTGGTTGCCCAACTCATGTGGCTTTATGACACACTTAGTATATAGGCTTGCGCGCACATAAACATGTGTATGTATCTACAGTGCTTAGTAATTGTTTTACGATTAACATTAGATTTTTTTTTTTCATTCAGGGAAAATTCATTTTTCATCAAAAGAAGCTAATGTTCAATCCTTGCGTTTATTGTTTATAAAAAAAATATCTGAGGGAAAATGCGTTGTAAGTTGTCTGGGAAAACGGCAGCAGAAATTAATTCACTTTTGTGCGAATGAAAACATTTCAGAATTCCCATCAAACAATTTGAAAGGATCAGACATAATCAAAAATATGTCCTTTCTTGAAACGTACAAATATACCAGATTAATATGATTCTTATAAAGTGGTTATTTTTGTTATCATCAAAAATTGATATTGATTCGTTTTCTATTGCTTATCAACCCATTGCAGGTTATTTAAAAGCAGAAAATAGTTTTATATTGCAATATTGGTTAAAGGGAATAATAAATTGCTTAGTAATAATATTCTTGCTAAGTCTCTCGTTTTTATGCGTTAATCATTTTTCTTTTTCTTTTTTTTTTTTTTTTTTGGTTGATGGATTGATTTGTTTTCTACGCATTTGCACTATATTTAAAACCGGAAATTGTTTTTTTTTTTAGATGAAAATAATTCATTGATACAAGTCTTATTAATTAACCCATAGTTGAAAGAAGATTAATATCTTTCCCAAGTGTATTTACGGGTAAATAAATACAAGGAACCCAAGTGAAATTGGAACTCAGCTCTCCGATTTAATAATTCCAAGTCATTATCAATTACACCATCTGCACATCAAAGTTTGCAGCTCCTGGTATTCCCAAGTAGTCACCCATCCAGGAACTGACTAGGCTCGAGGTTGCTTAAGTTCGATGATAGTACGGGAACTGGTGTTTCAAGTTTATATAGCTGTAAACCTTTGTTCCGAAGGGAAACGAAAGTACTTTAATGAACGCTGTTCGGCGGAGGATGGGCGTATTCCACAAAAAATCGAAAATCGCTTTTTTTCACTGCAAATTATTCATTCTATCATATACAAGTATTTTACAAAAACAAAATTAGAGCTGATTACACAATATTTCAAGCTCAATTTATGTTTATATTTCTTAAGCATGCAATGAGATGAGGTAACATAAACCGTAGATTTATTAGCGGAATATCATTACATTATTGTTGCATAATTATAGTGAAATCATTAAGAATTTTTTTGATAAAAGCATTTTATTTTTGGTCGTATATTAATTTAAAATATACCTTTTTACAGGCTTTATTTTTTAAATGGGATAAGATCATTCTAAATTTCAGAATTTCGCTATTGCTCATCAAAATGACTGGAAGAAAGCAATCTAAAAACAACAATAGAAAAGTGGGGTAAACAAAATAGCTCCAGTTTGTTCAACTTAAGGAAATTTAGCATTGCAGTCAAAGTATTCTAAAATGCTGCAAATAACAAAGGAGAAAATGAAAAAAATATCGAACAACAAATCGAATCTAGCATAAAAATTTATATTTTTATTTATTTATGTAACTAAATACATAATTTTCAACAATGTTTCCGTAAAACATGATATTTCCTGTAATAAATTCTTAATATTTATTATTATTGTTTTAGTTTACTTAATTGTAAGGTAGTCCTGAATTTACAATTCCTTACGGCTAACCATGAAAAGAAATGTTGATCAAAACTGCCTAAAACTTTTAAGCGCGTATTCCCGCAAAATTATGAAATTTTGAATACGCCCCTCCTTCGACGAATGCGTCATATAAACTAGAAACAAACTCTGTGCACGGACATGACGTAACAGTAGTTTTGACCAAGTTATGACAATGGTAATAGTAGTATTAGCTGCTTCCGTATAAGGAAACATTCAGCCTTCAACGATCAAACATTATATTTATCTTATATAAAATCTTTCTATTAAAACAATTTTTCAGGAAGATAGTTTTTTCAAGTCCAGTAACTTTTATCGCTCTTTTCTGTAGTGACTTGGGTTTCCTTCCTAACCTTTTGTTTGAAGTAGTGTGGAACGTCAAGAAATTGTTTCGTACTCAAATATAGACTCTTTTGCTCATTGGCGTCTAACAGTAATGGTAATATTAGCCGTTTCCTTATAATAATTAATATTATCAATTCAACATGACAAAGACGTCTTTGTCATGTTGAATTGATAATGTTAATTATATTTTATGAATATGTCCTGAAGATGGTTTATTAGACCGAGACCTCCGACGTTGACATATTAACATTAAAACAGCATAATTGCATATAAGGATTTTTTTGTTTTTTCCGTACATATTTTTCTTTATATATATATATATATATATATATATATGTGTGTGTGTGTGTGTGTGTGTGTGTGTGTGTGTGTGTATATATATATATATATATATATATATATATATATATATATATATATATATATATATATATATATATATATATATATATATATATATATATATATATTAGAAAGCGCAGTAAATATTAGAAATGATAAATATCAGATTTAGAGCTTTTAATATATATATTTATATATATATATATATATATATATATATATATATATAATAGATATTTTCAAGCTTTAAATAACCTGCCAATGGTGACAAGCCGTAGAAAACGAATCAGTTTCTCAATGATGTCTATGTGTCCATGGCAAAACGTCAACATAATTGATAAAAGCAAGAGAGATGAGGGAGTGTAAGAGAATAAAGATCGAAGGTAAACATGGAGACTTGACAGCTACGAAAAGAAATAGGGGTGGGGGGGTAAAAGTGGAGACGGAAAATAAGATACCGACAAGTCTTACTATTTAATCTCAACACTGTTTTAAATGAGCTGAAATGTTGGGGTTTCTTTTTAATCGTTCTTTTCTTTCTAGACATTTTACACACACCGTAGCTAGGTAGGTAGCACGGTAGGTTGACAGAACGATATTAATGCATAGATCTTCACTACAATCTGACACCTGACTCTCGACGTAGGACGCAAAAGGTCCTAAAATCAGTTAAAAGGCCTCTGTGAAGACGACTAAATTCAATCGCTTGGGAGAACTTGAGCAATATATTCCAGTATCTCGCTTGATACATTATTCGGAATATTGTGCTCATCTTTATTACAAAGTTTCGGCCGTTTTATGCTCCGGCCTTCTTCTGGTGGTTGGAATGTCGAACTGAACCCTTTACTTCGCTCACTAGACTGTTCTAGTTCCATGTGCCATGTTTAATGGATGTCAGTTATCAGTTAACTCCTGTTAATTTTCCCTCTGAAAGTTCTCCACTGCCTTAACCGGGTATTGAACTCACACTCTTTGGGTTCTGTCACTGGATCTAACCAACGCCTTTATCCACTGTGCCATGTGTCCTTGTGTATGAGTTTCTGGTTATTATAAAGCTAATGCCTTCATCAACCATTTTTACCAGTGCTCATATTGCAATTTTTGCTGTTATCATTTCATGTTTTTACCAGAGCTCATATAGCAACGTTGTTGTTATTATCGCTTTCCTCTGGCACTCCTTATTACTGGTTCCCATATTGTATTTATTTCTATGCGTGGTCGGCTTAGATTTTTGTGGCCTAGCATATGTGTTGATTCCTTAAGTTTATGAAACGTTGTAATAAATATGGCGACAAAGATGAGGACAATAGTCCGAATAATGTAAATAATGTACATAATGCCTCATCTCAAAAATATAGACAGATATCTTGCTTGATATCTAGGAATTCTTTTTCATTATCCGACACTCTCAACAATCAGTGAATTTCATATTAAATGAATTAAATTAACTCTGGTCGTCGAAGAAAAACAAAAACCATGTTGTATTTCAACTCATATTAAGCAAGAAAAAATAATTTTTATTTATTTAAGTACAAATTGAAAAATGAATGTTCTGATTTTTTACTTTAATTTCAAAAAGCGTTTCAAAAAGCGACTGCACAATAATCATATTTTTTAATCTTTTATGCATTTTTATTTATTATTTTCCCAAAAGTGAATAAAATCAATTCTCTTTGTTTTTTCTTTCAATGAAAATAGATTCGTCTCTTTCCTTTTTCTTTTCAAATAACGATTTTGAATTTGCTATGCATACGTTATTATTACACAAATTAAAAAGCTTACACCAAATGAACTGGACTCCGTGAATAGAATCTTTATTCTTCAAGAAGGACAATTTAGGTGGAAACTTAACAGACCGTAAAGAAAGTTGTAAAATTTGCGCAACGAACCGATTGAAGACCCTGTCTATAGAAAAGCGTAATCATCTTTAGTAATTGACGGAAGAAGCCCAAATAACCGTTTTATAATCACATCATCCCGGAATCCTTGCGAGTGACAGGCACTGATTGAAGCAAAGGAAACTTTAAGTGCAGTCCTACCACGTAACAAGTTTCTAAGGACGCTTCAATTGAAATTGACTTTTTTTTTCTTTCCTTCGTTTTTACTACTTTTTAAATTAAGTTTCTCTGTCCTTCGTTTTATTGTTGCTTAAACCAAATTTCCAATATATCTCTTTTAGTTGCACGTTACTTTTATTTTTGAAGGGAAATCCCTACGAAATATCCAGTTAATCATTTTGTCAACTAAAAAAAAATAAATAAATAAATAAATAAATAATTAAAAAGAAAATTCCGGGAAGAAATTTTAAAATATAATTTTAAAGCAAAATTAACGTTTTAAAAGTTTCTCTTTCTTTTAAATTTTGTATTTGTATTTAACCGTTATTTCTGTATAAAACGTTCGTTTTAGATTTCCCTGAAATTAACTTTATAATAAAAAATATCATTTTTGATCGCAAGGAGAATGTCATGAAGTCTGTTTTTATTCTTTTTAACTATGAGCTCATCATTTTTCTCCTATTTAATTATTCATCATAATATAAAACTTAATTCCTCCCATCATTGTAGGAACCTAAGCCTGAAAACGAAATGGCTTTTTCAAACTAAATCTAGGAATGGACCAAGCAACTAAATAGAAACAGCTTTATACTTTAGAAATTAAAGCAACTAAAATAAAACAGTTGAAATATTCCCTAAACAAAAGAATAAATTCCAAATACAATGTTTTTTTTTTTATTTAGTCAGTCGTGCTAGCTCGGAATCAATTACGCCACCCATCTCGGTTTTGCATCAAATGTCGAAAGGTCATTAGAATTGAATCCTGTGCCATAAAATGGTGGGTCAATTTAGGCGATTACTGGGCGACCAACCCGTCTTGCGCTTTGGATAAGTGTACAGAGCAGTAGATCCGTAGAAATGTCTTGTTTAGCTTGCTAACAGTGTCCTGTAAAGCGCATTCAGCGTTCAAGTAAGATTGTAGAAACATCAGCTAAGAGTTAAATAGACCTAACTTTTTAGCTTTGTTTGGAAGCCCGTCCAGGAGAAGTATTACTCCAAAATACAAATATGTAAAAAAGTAACCTGGAAACCACTCTGCTATATTCCCTAAGATGTCATAGAAATTCACTGATAATAATAAAATGGAATTTGTGGAGAGCCATAATCGCTTACGTAATGATGTGGGATGGCATTAAAAAAACTTAAAAAGGCAGTCATAAACTGAATTAAAATCAATGAGCATTTTTCAGTCAATTATATTTCCTAGCAAGCGACTACAAAATAATTTTGTTTTAAGCCGTGACAGTGAACTGATTTTCTAACAGAATATACTTATTCTGTTGAATTAGCTCGAACATTTATGAGTCTATCACCCTAACGATCACGGCCCTGCATTATGGTCACAAGGACATTACGGGGACATCCTGTGTCATAAAATAGTTGGTCAATTTACGTGAATGCTGGGTGACCAACCCGTCTTGCGCTTTGGATAAGTGTACAGAGCAGTAGATCTCTAACAAGATCTTGTTTAATTCGCTAACAGTGTCCTGTAAAGCGCATTCTAC